ACGTGAAAAAACGGATGATTTTAAAGTTGGAGGCGAAAATGAGATGACATTTTTAAACGTAGTACAAAGACGAAGAACTAACCGCGCGTGACCTTAAAAGTTTTATTAAAATCTAAACTGAAACTACTGCTAGCTCATGTTAAACTGTTTTTCATCACAGCGCATGAAAGACACATAATTGAGACATGTGATATCATTGGCCAGTCACAGTCATCAGTAGGCAGTCATTGCTGTAGTTTTAACATTATTATGAGAAGATAAATGATCATGATCTCTACGATTCGCTTGAAAAGTAGATCGTAGACATCTTCAAGATCGATCACGATATAAAATCGTCAGATCGCCAACCCCTACTTCCAACCAACCAATAAACCAAAAACAAATAAAAAAAATAAATCAAATAAAATAACACTATAATATAAAATATCTGTGATTTATGTTAATTAAAATACAAAACAAAAAAAAACAAAACAAAATAAGTTATGGCATCTACCATACTGGACCTGACCAAACCAAACTCTGACCTTTTGAAACTTACAGGTAAGGCGATGGTCTCAAACTGATCTCATATATGATCTAAAACTAGCACTGCATCTAAAAAACAAAACTGTTCAAATATATCTGCATCCCAGCTCATGATGCTAAGCAGATGTTTGTAAATTACAGCCCTTCATTCTCACACTTCTGGCCAAATTTCAAGAACCATTCAACCTGACTTGTGAGTAATGCAGAGGCTGACGTCACACTTCCCACAGACAGCCGTTTTCACCTACCTCACTGCTTGTTGGAGACTAATTGCCTAAAAAAACATAAGGGAAGGTGGAAAAACAACATGACAAAACACATGGCTGCTACATCCTGAAGAATCCATCACTGCCAGAGTGTTAAAACCCCAGTACGCCAAGCCTAAATTGCCTTTGATATTCACTGGGTATCAGAGCAACGCACAAACATATGACAGAGCACATTATGCATCATTACATAAACAAATAAATGAGGAGGGAGAGCAAGTGGTCAATCAGCTCCTTATTGTTCCCAGCTCATATATATCACAGCTATGCCTTTATAAAGACAACCTGGCTTACCAAATGTTTCCACTGCAGGTCTTATTACTTTTGCTGCAGAAATGACAGTGCCTTATGGAGTGTGGTCTGTCTATCTCTATCAATCGATCTATCCAATCTCACCCCTAATAAATGTAAGATTGTAGAATTCGACAGGGAAAATGGGACTGGTTCCTTTTTTTAAATTACATCTCCTTCATTGCAGGCTTTTGTGGCTGTGCAGCTTTCTGGGTCCAAAAACTGAAGCGCACGAACAAGGGCAGAGTCCAAAAATAACACTTGCCAATGGCTAAACGGGAATAAACATTTTGCAAGTCTATAAAATGGAGCTTTTCTCCTTTATTATCTTTATTAGGAAATGCTGCAATGCAAGAGTAAAGCTGTGAAATATCAATTACATTTTAGGGATGCGCCGATCCGATATTCATATCGGGTATCGGCTCCGAATAAAATTAAATATAAAAATTAAATAAATTTTTTTTTTAATTAAATTAAATTAAAAAAGAACACATGGCTACTAATGAAAAAAGATCGATTTTACAGCCAGATATGTACAGTGCCTTGCATTTTTTCATTTTTTTTTTCCACGTTTTGTTATGTTGCAGCCGTGTGTTAAACTGCTTATATTACTTTTTCCCACATCAATCTACACTCCATACACCACAATGGCAAAGCAAAAAACAGGTTTTTAACATCTTTGCAAATTTATTAAAAATAAAAAGACTTGGGCTAAATGATGAAATTAAGGGGTGCGAATACTTTTGCAAGGCACTGTAGTTATGGCCTGTAGTCTACCAGCAGGACTATACTATCCAAGCTGACCTCAGTAGCTGGTCAGAAAATATGAAAAAAAATGAATTTTCATTAAATTCTTCCTTCAAAGAGAGAGCATTTAAACAGAAGGAAATCACATTGGGCAGGTTTCCATGCACTTGCATGAATATCAATGTGTGCAGAGCAGGCTGACTGGAGGCTGATCAGATAGCAAAAACTTCCTATGCCAGCTTAAACAGAGCAGCAATGCAGAGTCACAAAAAGAGAGGGAGTGCTTAAGACTAGTGAACAATTGGTATTAGCCTTTACATGAGCGAAACTGACTGCACCCTCCCTGTTTGTTAGGCCACATCCCAATGAGATAAAAGACACTCCATTAGTGTGGGTCATGACCTTTCGATCACTGGTCAGCAAACAGATGCATTTGTTCCTCATCCTCATACTCGCTGATGAAACTTCACAGCTTAAGTTCCATATCCTTCAACACCGATTGCAGACTGAGAACATCTGAGAACATCTTGAGTAATAAAAGCGATGTAATGACTACAATGACAGCATGACTACGAATTCATATTGCTATTTTTAGAACACAATAATTTGTTCCCAAAGAGTTGAAGTGAAAAAGACTTCTTTTCTTTATTGACAGCCATTCAGATGTGGCTTGCAAAAAATCATCACATTCAAATCATCAAAATCTCACATTTTTACTGTTATTTATAATTGACAACAAACAATTTTTTTTTCATGGCACCTAAAAGGTTTTAGATCTATACATACTCTTTACTTCACGCAAATTAAGATGCCCATTAGAGACACCAAAGAGGTGGGCATGGGCCCTGTCAAAGAAACAGTCATGTGACCCATCAAAACAGTGGGCATCTGAGGGAGGCAGCCATGGAGCAGGGAACTGCTGTATCAAATGAAGTCTGAGACATCATTATACAATATGCCATGTGATAAAACAGTGGCCTTACCTTGGCAGAGGCTGTCAAATTAAATGTAACTCAGCAAATCTGAAAAGGTCGACTATAGTATAAATTCAGTTACAGTATATTGAACATGAACAGCATTTTTTCCCAAAGGCTAAATCTGTAGGCTATGCAGTACAACAATAACGGAAAATGGCATAACTGTATACATTAGTGCAGTAAGTACCTGCTTCACAATTCTTACAGTACCATTTATAGTACTGACTCGTTTTTTACTGTCAGAATTTGCACAAAATCTCATGGCAAGTTCACTGATCTTGATAACACACTGGATAGATATTACAAGGATTATAAAACATAAAAAAGTTTGATAAACCTGTTCATTAAGACTTTTTGCAAGCAACACCTGAATGTCTGTCAGCAGAAAAAGATGCTGTATGGATATGGACTGTATATAACCCTACTGCTTTAAAGGGGTCCTATTATGCTTTTTCACTTTTTGAATTTTAATCAGTGTGTAGTGTGTATGTTTGGGCATAAAAAAGATCTACAAAGTTACAAATCTCAAAGTCCACTCCAAAGGGAGATATTTCGTTTTTAAAAAATCCCTTTTCAAGAACTACAGCGAACTGCTCGTTTGGACTACAGCGTTTGTTTTCCGGGTTTTGTGATGTCACAAAGCGGCCCATTGGAATATCATTAAAATAATTCCCGCCTACAGAAATTCGAATGCATGAGTGGGTAGGGGCGAGGTCGTGGTCAGACAAGACGACGACGACGAAGAAGTGCTTCATGTTTTGTAGTAAAGTAATTCATAAATAACTATTAAAATTGACAGCAATGCATATTTACAGTACCTTTTGAATTTCTGAATTTTTGAAATAAACATAATACATATTACCATGGCACTTATCTGTACATAGTAAATGCAGTTATTTTTCAGTGGGTGGGGGGTGTGCCCTAAGGGTGAATCCGTATTCATAAAGGCACGGAAAACAATAACGTTTGCTAACGGTTGCCTGTTACATTACAGTACATAAAATTTCACTTACCACATAAACAAAGTAGGAGAGATGACTGAGGACGATGGCAAATGATTTGTAGTTTCTGATCACCACTCATAAAACATTTAATCTTGTAAAATGTGTGGTAAGTACTGCTGCTCCATATAAACAGAGTACGTGCGATCGCGAATCTCGAATGTGAAAGTGAAACTAAAAAGCGATCGTGCACTCAAAAGCAGTTTCAATGCCAGGCATAATAGCGGCTCCCCGATGCCCGCAATTTATATAGGCCAACAGTATAATTACCCAATGATATAACTGTGAGAGAAAGTATTGAAATATATATTTTCCTCCCATCTCGCATTTATTCCCTTTAGGGGTTCGGGTTCCGTATACACGTCATTTTCTTTCCGAAAACGGTATTAGGATGCGGCTGATTGAGGGGGGTATGGGGGGGGGGGGCCATGTCGAAGAAACGCAGTTTTTTCAGCCCCATGCCCATACGGCTTTGCTTGGCCTTCCTAAAGCGGACGACGTCAGGAAACAGTAGTTGCAATTTATTTGACATCGTTTGTAAAACGTGATTTAGCCAAAAAAACAACAACAACAATAACGTTACCACTCTAATATGTGTTGCAATATCCGTGCGTGCAAAGGTTCTGCGCGATCCTCTTGTTCAATATTCACAGGGTCTGAAACCGGCTCAAATTGATATGGTAATATTGACACCATCCTTAACTATACCGGAGCAGACAGAACTTGCTGCTTTGGCAAGGGGCGGGGCAGTACTGAAACACCGTCTAAGCTGTTTGCCAATCACAACGCACTGGGACAGCTAACCAATCACAACACATTTCGTTTTTCGGAAGGCGGGCCTTCATCAAACCCGGAACTAATTGAGCCGTTTGTGCCAGGCTGGGGAGAAAGGTATTGTAATAATGTAAATTATGTGAAAAATAATGCATTTTTCGAACCACCAAGCATGAGAGCATGTTCTAGTACAACCCCAAAACAAAATCAAGACTTTGTAAAAGAGCATAACAGGACCCCTTTAAATGAATGGCTATGTTACAAACATAATCAGTTTATGAAAAGAGTACTAAAGCGATTTAAAAAGGCAGTTCAGAAATTCAAATAAATTCCGTCATATTCACATACGCACATGCCATCATTTAGTGAACTTCAGAATCCGGATCTCTCACCAATCCAATCAGCGGTTTTCCACCCACCTTATACAGTTGTAGTGTTTGAAAGTGCTGGCAGCCTTCTGGCATTCTAAACACAGCTGGATGGCGCCTGGATAGTCCTCCTCCTGTAAAATTAAACGCTCCATTTTACCTGAATATCTGTAGACATTTTCACAGGACTCAACTAGAACAACTGAGCTTACAGTTTAATGAATGATGCTAGATTTCTATCATTACCCTCACAATGACAGAACAATCTCATATTAAATTTACATTTAGAAGACATAAAGAGACCAAACACCACAATTAGTGCTTGTTTGCAAGTTCTCTTTTGGTTATCTTTTAAATAATAGGCGTATTTGTGTAGATTTCTGTGCCAACGTACCTCCAGCATTTCACTCAGTCGAACATCAGTTCTTTGCTGTAAAAGAAGCAAAGAGAAGAAGGACAGAGTGTCTGTGAAACTAGGCAGAAGGGAAATTAACATGCACAGAGGACTGAAACTCTCTGTTTAGCCATTAACAATGTTGATGAAGTGATTACCAGAGTCTTTATGGTCCTCAAAGACTTCAACAATCCTGTCAACAGCTGTCGTCGTCTCTGATTGGCTAACAGCCCCAGACTGGCTTCAGTGAAGCCTTCTTTAGCAGAACGAAGCTGCCTAAAAGCAGAATTACAGCATTTCTGCCTATTCTACAGCTTATCAAAACTTTAAGCAATAGCTGGCCTAACAGTGAAAATGATTTTCACTCATTTCCTCATGTTGTTCTAAACCGGTTTGACTTTTTTTCTTTTTTTCAATGAATACAAAAAGACTGTTTTCCATGTTCTTTTTCAAATGTGTAGGCACTGAAGCATCAAGTGGACAAACAACTTGTGTGCTGTTTTCTAGTACTTCTGAAGTCATGTGTTAGCTTTTTGGGAGAAAAATAAACAAGAGAAATGTAAATTGTTATTTAAAGAAAGCTATAACATTATCTCTATAGTATAGTATTCTTCATAGCAAACTCTTTCTTCATATTTCTGTCAATCAGAACTAATTGTATTTTAGTATATTATACACAGTATTAACTATAGTAAGCTCAACGTTTTAGTATATTACATTACAGCATAACATTTTAGTAATGAGTTCTAAAGCTTTAAATACCTTTAGCGTAAATATTGCAAGATCCTCAAGATTTAATTTTGTACTTACATTTCTCTCAATTTCCATACACTGCGACCATGACATGAGTCCTTTGGCACATTCCTGAGAGTTCTTGAGGAAAGTGAAGAAATTAATAAATGATTTGCATGATTCTTTCATAGAACCAGTCTGAAAGATTTGTTAACTCGCTGATAAAACTGCTCACTGGAATCAAATCACTTGCATGTCGGTTTCTCACACAAAGCTAACATGTGACTTCAGAAGCCTTGGAATCGTTCAGACCTTTTTTGATACGTTTATGCACTTCTGTTTTCTTTTTGAAACAAGAAAACTTCTGTCCACGTTTAAATCAATTTTCTCTTTCTCTTTTGTCCCACTGAGAAAAAAACAAGTCAGTTTGGAACAACATATGGATGAAAAATGATAACACAGCTTTCATTTGTTAGCTGTACTATTCCTTTAAACCCGATTTTCAAAATTTGACAGTGATAAAAGCTCTCTGACCTTCGTGCATTAGTGCAGATGACTGCAGCCAGCTGCAAGTTGGTCTGCAGAGATGTCACTCTCTCGAGCTCCTACAACACAACAATGATTTTCAAGTTTTATGACAGAGTTTATCCAAAACATTAGGCAAGTGCTACTCTGGTGTCCTTTGAAGTAGACAAGACAAATGAGACAATGCTTATGACCTTCCTTCCATATAGCAGGATATTACCTCTCATGGATAACTGTGATTCTAACCTCTATGCTTAATGGGTTCAGACCAGAGATGTTCTCTTCTATTAGGCAATTTTTTCAGGCCTGTTATGAACAATAAAGCAAGAGAGATGATAATGGTGACAAGGTTTTTAGTATAGGAATGAGAAAAGCAGCATAATGAGAAAGAACATGCTACCTTAGCTCACACCGACATGTCCACAAACTAATAGACAACTGAAGTTCAGGGCTTTTTGCAAGGTTTTTCTCATGCAAGGCCCCCCCTTCACAGCATTCTCGGTTTGTATTTATTTAATACAAGAGCGCAGCTGTCACAGCCTGAGGTGAGCTCACACTGAGTGACCCAGTCTTTCGATGCACATTAGGTCTGGCCAACACAGAGACAGCCTTCAGCACCAAAACATCATCCCAGTGTCACGTTAAAGATAATTATTTGGCCAAAGAATATGAGGTGGAAAAAATTGATTCCACAGAGAGGGGCAGAAGAAACAGAGGCTCCTTATGCGTAGCGTCACAAGGAGAGCCGTTCATTCTTCAGAAGGCTATCAGTAGCAAATACCCGGAAGAATCCTGGAAGGCTTCTGGGAGATGAACAGACCGTATTGAGCTTTAAGTTGGGTGCCTGGAGAACCTCCTGCAGACTCTAAAGTACCATCTAATAGATGACAGTACAAACAGGAATAAAACAAAAAGTGCAGTGTTTGATTTGTTCTGCCGTTCAGTCTACTGACAAACACATGGAAGGCATGAGGTTAACAGGGTGTCTTTGCTGAGGAAACACAGGCTGGTCATTTAGCCAGGCATCTGCAGAAAAAATCTGTGCGATTTATTCAGAGGAATCTCTGTCTCTGTGCTTTTGAAGTGCCCTTGGAGTTGCCCTCACTAGATCAGGAAGCTGAACCCAGCCATAGCCCCGCTGAGTCATAGGGTCCTTAAGGGATCCAGTGGGCTTCAGAGCTCAAGCAAGAGTGACTCACTATCTCCACATACACACTGCAGCCAAATACATGGTTGTCACTCCTGTTTTGAGAGCTAAATCTTATTCAGTACACAAAAATGTGTTTAGTCAAAACACATTCTATAATTAAATTCACTCACAAATAAAATTAAATATAACCAAGACCAGTAGCGTGTTTAGGCCCCACGCAATTGTCCAGGGGGGCCCCCATGGAACACGATTTCTACCGATGGGGCCCCCCAGGGACTGCTTACGTAGGGCCCCCAAAACTCTAAACACACCCCAGACCAAGACTGCCAATGTCGACTGCAATTTCAGAAGTAATTCATGCACTGCAAAAGACCATCTTAACTCTTTCCCAACCAGCGGTTTTTCAAAAAAGTTGCCATCGGCACCGATAGCCTCGTGGTTAGTGCGTCAACATACAGCGCATCTTGCGCTCGCGGCAACCCGAGTTAGATTCCCATCTCGAGGTCCTTTATCAATCCCCAATTCTCTCTACCCAATACTTTCCTGTCATCTCTCTACTGTCCTGTCCCAATAAAGGCATAAAAAGCCCATAAATATATATTTTTTAAAAAGTTGCTAGCCACCGCCAGCATTTTTGATTATTTTCACAAGTTTATTGGCACCCAGAATATTTTGTTGTGTGAATATTTGAACATGCAATATGTCAAAAAAAACAAAAACATTTTATTCTAGCTTCATGCAATATTTTTTTTAAATCAAAACTTGAATGTGGGTAAGTTTCATAAAAAAAAGCAAAAAAGAAAAAATAATTAATCACATTTTTGTAAAAGACTTTGTGTTATTTTACATATGCATCTACTTACAGATGCAATCGCTTGTTTATGCTTCTTCGCCATGTTTTGATTTAGATGTTCAATACTCTTTCAGAAGATGCGCAATAGCGCCTCCTACCATACACCAGTGAAAACACAGAAAGCGCGGAAAATTCCGCCTATGTCGGGGAAGCGTTGCCTCATAAATGATGGAAAGTTCCATCAATGGCGGGGAAAGAGTTAATAAGTATTTTGTTTTCACAGAATTAGACAAGCAATTTCAACTGAATTTCTTGTTTTTTTTGTTTTTTTACCATTGATCGGCAAAATTTATTTTAATAGGAATCCATGCGATTCCTGAGAACGAAAGATTTCCCCATGCAGATTTCACAATGGGTTCAAGTTGGTCACACTAATTCACTATACTGACCAAAAGAAAGCTGCTTGGTTTGAAAGAGTCTTCAGCATGAGCTGTGCTTCATACATCGCTTCACTATTAATGAACACTGGACCTTCTTGCTAATGAAATTTCACTAATGTGACCATACTTTCAGTGAGGGTAGCACAATGTTTTTTGACAGGAATAAAAACGAGGCTGTGAGAAAAGTTCGGTGTGTTCACTGGATTGTACTCTTTAACAACATGCCGATTGTTCACCTGACTAAACATCTTCCTAAACAACCTTTCAATAAACACAAACACAAAATGATATGTGATCTAGGACCTAGAACATACCATTATAAAGACTGTAAAGTGCTTTTCACAAAAAAGACTGATAACTGTAAATTTATATTTTTAACAACTGTTCTAATTGTATGAGAATAGAGAGGTCCACACCACAGCTATAATGTTAACAGACAGAGGAACAATTTTGTTGGAATCGCTTCTAGAAATTTTTTTTTCAGGTGATAAATGACAAAAAAAAAAAGCCAATCAGAATTTAGAATAGGCATTGTTAGCTTACCAACACACTGATTTCAAATTTTACTGAAATGATTGTAAATAGAGTTACAGCCTATATAGAGGTTTCATTTCAGTCAGGACAATGTCTTAGAAGGTGACATAAGCTGCCTATGTATGCTGTATACAACAAAGTTTTAGAAAAGAGCCCAAGTGATGTGATATACCACTTATTGACTATTTCAGTGACAGGCACAAGAAAATGTATCACAGATATCTAAAAGCATGGGCGGCCTATAATACAGCTCAAAAGCATGGCTGAAATCCCATCTTATTTCTGAAAGGCCTGGGACAAATGCAAGCTGCTGAGGTGTAAAATGGCTTGTGGCAAAGAACCAGCAGACTTAAAAGCTCTTCAAATAGAGGAACAGGAATAAACATATTTCTCTCTACATCCTTTTGGCAAACACTTCTTAAGAGTTAACGACCGTTGTTTAAGACCGCAAGGGTCTAAAAATAGCACTTTCTATTCACGTGTGCTTTGGTGACCCATTGACTCGAAGTTTTTGTCTGTATGACTGGGTTTTCCTGAAGCATTCTCTTGTTAAGGGTACAAGGCTGGTCTAAAATTAGAACTTCAAAACATGAACTTCAGCTATAAATAGATCAAAGGAATTATTTCAGTGATGTGAATGTATTTTATTCAACATGCATTCTCAATGTTTTATAAAAGCATCTGAGAAGGCATGAAATATGGTATTTGTCCTACACAATGACTAATGCAAGAAGAATATCTAATGCTTTTTGTGTTGGGTTACAATGACTCAAGGGCAATTTGCTGTGACATGACTGTAGTAGTAATCTCTAAATGTTTTCTGTTCCGCTGATTGAGGTCAGAAGATGAATATCTTCATTCCATTTTGGATGAAGACGTGTGATGGGTGAAGCATGTAGTTTCTAAGCCACTAGCGTCACCAGATGGAACTGTCTACAGTATAACTGTACATATCGCCCATTGTTTGGCCAAAGCAGCCAATTCATGATAAAGAGTTTATGATAGATCAATGTATCAGCAAGGTTTATTATTTAACCATTATTTAGCCATTTTGACCTTGTTAGCATCAATACTGTCTATGAGTGATTAGAGTATTTTCCGTAAATATAGCGCAAATAGGTATTCATTTAATTTCAGCCATTTTTCATCATTATTTTATCATTAACCATTTATCATCATCTTTATTGTGTAAGACAACACCAAAACGAACTTTTTTTTACCTTTAGCAATTCAAATACACTATCATTTAAATAGGGTTAGTAAGATTTTTTATTATTATTAATACTTTTATTCAGCAAGGAAAATGCTTTTCTCTTTAAATTTCTATTTTAAAAAATCCCAATAAAAATTCATTACAGTTCCCAACAAAAATAATAAGCAGCACAACTTTTTGTTCAACATTGATAAGACATGTTTCTTGAACACCAAATCAGCATATTAGAATGATTTCTGAAGGATCATGTGACAATGAAGACTGGAGCAACTCGGCTTGCCATCACAGGAAAACAAATCATAATCTTATATATTATTAATAAAAACTACATTAAAAATAAAATTGCAATATTTCAGAATATTATATTTTTTTACTGTATTATTGATAAAATGCAGCCTTAGTGATCATAAGATTTATTAAATTTCTTTTTGTTTATTTTAATTTGTATTTAATCTTAACACCCCACAATTTTTAATGGTATTGTAGAGGCACTGTTGGGTGTTCCATAGCTGTAACGCATTTCTATCTCTACCATCGTAGCCCTCAATACACACAGACGTCATACACAAAGTGAGTTGGACAGCATTTCTTTAGGGACGGCACGTCAGACCAAGTTTGCAGAGTTATTGTCAAGTATGACATATACAGCTAAACTGTATAAAGAGGACAAAAAAGAAAACATATCTGTACTTTTTAAAGCAATGCTTAAGATATGACAGCTTACCAGATTGCAGAATTTGCTGCAGAATTTGATACAGTTGACAACAGTTGTGATTTTATTAACAACATAGTCTTCTTTTCCGCCCACTCACAGAAAGCAAAACATCCTTCATGGTAAATTATGACTTGAATCATGGAAAAGAACATATTTTCTTAAGGCTTCTGTCCAGTACAATTTTGAACAACAAAAGAAATGGAGAGAACTCAATTTGACCCTCTGATGTTAAAATGAAACGAGACAGCATCAAGACAAAAACAGACTACTGCATCCATCAATGAACATGATGCATCATTCAGTCAATCAGGCTTTATCAAGAGTGAATCTAACACACAAAACAATTCTACGCATCGAGTGTGAGGTGAAAATCCTGGCACAGGATCAAAGCTAAGCATTCTAAAGCATATCTTTAAGAGAAATTTCAAAGTGATCCAAAGTGATCCACTTTCAAAGGGATTCACAGTGATTTTTAAAGATGTGAGAGAAATATGACCAGAGGGAAGAGGACACAGAGCCTTGGCTCAGTCTTCTATTTCCAATTTCATCCCAAATTGCATGGAAATACTCATTTGAGATAAAAATCACACTGTATCTTCAGCTTCATCTGCAAAACACACTGCACAAATCTTATTTTAACAAATACACATTTAGAGAGTTTAACGGTTTAATCACCAAGGAAACTAGGATGCAGTTACAGTCATCATGAAAAAAATGTCAAGGTTATGATGAGGCACTTACAATAAAATTGAATGGGGACTAATTTTGGAGAGAGAAAAAATCTACTTAATTCAAAAAGGAAAAACGTTTTTATACTCACTCACAGATACTTGGTATTAGTGTTGTCACGGTACCAAAATTTCAGTATTCGGTACCAATACCAGTGAAAACCCACGGTTCTCGGTAGCAATTTTGCTAACGGTGATGTTTATTTCAATCCAAAATTCAAATTAAAATATGTAATAATATTCCCAACAGAACAGAAGCTCTAAATATTAAAAATGTAATTGAAACTTACCTGCTTGAACTTGATCGGGGTGTTTTGTTAGTTTGATGCGTTTCCTCCTCTTGAGGTCTCCACTGCTTTTAAGAAGAGGTTGCCAGTTTTTCACAACAAAACCCACCCAATCGCGTTTCGAGGGGGTCCCCGTTAAAAATCGCGTTCCGGGGATAAAATATGCGTGTTTTGGCGGGGTTCCCCTGGTAAAATTCACATTACTGGGGCTAAATATCACGTTAATGGGGTCGTTTTTCCACCCGCGGACATGAAAAACAACCCGCGGCAACATTGTTAAAGCAGCCCAATTCCGCGGGAAAACCGCGGACTTGGCAACACTGTAAGAGGATAGCTTTCTGATAGCGCATCAAGAACCGGTACTTAAGAAAACCTGGTACCGTAACGTTTTAATTTTTTTAGTACCGACTTGGTACCGAAATACCGGGTCTTTTGACAACACTACTTGGTATTGTTCTAAACAAACTCACTTCATTTTGTTCAAATTCTCAGAAAACAGGACTTCATATGTTCATTTTGCATCAAGTTAATATATCTTCATTTAACAGTGTTTAGATATTTGCATTGGAAAACAGAAATAATGAGGAAGATATTATTTTGCCATGCCATGACTTTATGAATTTAAGACTTTCTGCTCCGATTTAGAACCATTTATGTCCTTCAAATCAAGACTTTAAGTTCCATTATGGTTCATAAAGACTTTACACAAAGGATTAGATTCTTTTTTTTCATACTAAAATCATGTTAACATGCACATTGTTTTTACATCTTGTGGCTATACTTTTGAAACAGTAAGTATTCTAACATTTATGGACTGTTCCCATTCGCTTACATTGTAAATGAAACCCAGATTTCTTTTTTTTTTTTTTTAAAGAAAACGAGGAGCAAGTGAAAATATAATGTTGATTACCACAAAAACGTATCATAAATACTGTAAATATCAAATTGTTTCCCTGACCTTGAAGAAAAAGGAACAAGCTGGAAATCATATGTTGATTGAATGTATCCTGCAGACTCAATTTTTCCGGATGTGACAGACTGCTTACCTTAACATAGGAAGGCTGTTTCTCCAAAATGAGGTCCGCCACTCTTTTAGATACCTGTAAGATGAGAACACAAGCTAAAGGTTAACATCTGTTCAACATGTCCTAGCTTTGTGCATTTAACTCTTTTTAATCATTAGCTGAGGCTTTAAAAGTAGTAAAAAGAAGAACAACTTGAGACTTTAAAATTTAATTGGAGTCTATTATAGGCTTTTCATGTCTTCCACATCTGCAACAATTACTCTGTAACAATATAATAAATGTTTTCTTGGGGCCCTCAAACATTCAGCTGGTAATAATGGCTCCACGGAAGGTCAAGCCATAAATATAAGGCATACTGAGGCACGCTCCAATCGATATGTGCGTCACCTGGTGGGGCTGTCAGGAACGAGAGGGCGGGATGGCTGTGAAGTGTTGGTGTGTCTGTGAGAGCTGAACAGATGGCAGACTCAGCTGAGCAGCGGCGTATGTTAGCAGATCTCACTGTGCGAAAAGCTGAGACCGACTGGCAGGAGAGCGCTGGGTTGTGTGTGAGTGTGTATGTGTGATAAAGACAACTGAAAGAGACATTTTCAAGAGCACCTCAACTTGCTCTTACATATGCATCAGCTCTTGGCTCTTAAAGGAATAGTTTCCTCAAAAATGACAATTCTATCATCATTTACTCACCCTCATGTTCTAAACCTGCTTGATATTCAAAAAGAAAATATTCTGAAGAATGAGCCATACAATGAAAGTTAATGAGGTCCAAAACAACATTAGACTAGGGTTGTGAAGGTGAGGAAATTTTCCCACCGGTTAATCACGTGTGACAACACCGGTCACCGTCAGTGCGCGTTTTACTTTCACTTTCAAATTAGCTGCAATTCGGCATTGATTCAATTCAAGCAACAACAACGTCAAACTCATAGAACTTTTATTAACAAAACGAATAAAAATACACCATATATGCCTAATAAAATAACAAATTACTTAGGCTACACAAAGTTAAAATAGGTATACAAACACTGTGGAACCAAATAAATAAGAAACGAATGTTTAAAAAAAACTTCCAGTCAATACGCTTTTCAAAATCTAAAATATTGCCAAGCAGGCGCCTTTGCAAGCCTACATTAGACCCTGCTGACTTTCATTGTATGGACCAAAAAAAAAAAAAAAAACATTTTTAAAAATATTTTCTTTTGTATTTTCAAAGATGAAAGAAACAGGTCAGGAATATTAATGTTATCGAAAATAAAAGAAACCATAAAAATAGTTACTTTAAAAATAAATAAATGTTAACTGAAAGAAAAGATATATTAAAAAACTAAAAAATATTATATTTCAGATAGCTGCCAAGGAAACATTTCTCATTTTCAATGTTTAACTTGATGTACTAATATAACTAAAACTGAAATCAAATTTATAAAAACTACAGACACGTAAAAAACTAAAGAATATATTTTTTTAAATAACAAAAATTTAAATTAAAACAAAATCTAATTCAAACTCATTTTCATTGTTTAACTTGAAAACTAAAACTGAAATAAAATTTCACCATTTTGGGTGAACTATCCATTTAAGCCAGATTTTTCTAACTGATTATTAAAACCACAAGCTGTAATTAATTCCAAGCAAACCTGCAATTTACCCACAGAATGAATGAATGAATGAGACCTTGACTCAGAAGTAGTGCCTGTGATTTTCACAAAGCTCACTGCTCCACCTATTGGTCATTCATTTTTGTAAAAGATCCCACAGGACGGATCGACGCCAGAATGAGAAAACAAGCTGTGAGGAGCCTTACGGTGTGCTGTTTCCAAAAACTAAAAGACAGAGACTTTAAAAACAGGTGGCCAACACACTCTGTCTGACTTCGATAAGCCGAACACGATGACAAGCGGCAAAGCTGTCCGTCAGCGAGGCACAAGACTCTCTCTGTACGCCTTCCGGCAGCCAACTGTGAGTGATTCCTGCATGGGTAATAACTCTAATTAGAAATCTATTAACCAGTGCTTGCACCAGAGCAGTAAACAGACTGCAATTTTCTCTACCGCTGGTTCTACAAATCCAAATTACAGCACGGAGGACCTATGTTCAAATTCAGACTAACTTACAATTCCACCTTATTTTCCAATTACGACAATCTTTCTTAAGGACACAGACGAATATTACTTAATTAATAAAATTCATCATTAATATTGTTCCTTTTAGCTAATGACTACAAGAAAAGACTTCTCTGTGTTCATCTAATCAGCTAAAACAGCATTACATTTAATTAGGACTGGAAAGAAAAACTCCATTAGACAGTAGAGTGAACACAAAGGCCAGCAGTAAACAAGATATATCTGTTGGGCCCTGGTCAATACGGTTTTGTTTATATTACAAGTGAATCGATTGACATTCATTGCCAGATACAACAAACAATAAAAGGCTTATTTAAAAGCATGCATTTAAGAATTAATCACTTGAATGCTTTTGTGCTCTACTCTGTTGTTAAAGGTGAAATGGGGGTAATTTGTATAATGTTAAAAAACAAATTTCAGTTCATAATTCATTCATTGATTAAATTCCAGAAGTGTACAAGTGTAAAAACTGTCACTTTCAAAGATTTCTCACACAACTTCATCCTAGCAGTAGCAGCAACCAGCAGTGTGATTTTGGGGTGGCAGCTTGAAAACAATTTTGTTTCTTAAAATACTTTGATGTTCAGGAAAATAAATACCATTTTCAGCTTGGGGTTAGTATGATTTTTTTTGAAAGAAGTCTCTTTTTCTGCAATTATCTGATCAAAAAAAAAACACTCAAAACAGTAATATTGTGAAATATTCCAATTTAAAACAACTGTTTTCAATTTGAATAGATTTTAAAATGTAACTTATTTCTGTAATGGCACAGCTGAATTTTCAGCAGCCATTACTCCAGTCTTCAGTGTCACGTGATCCTTCAGAAATCATTCTGATTTGATGCTCAAGAAACATTTCTTATTATCATGAATACTGAAAACAGTTGTGCTGCTTAATATTCTTGTGGAGACTGCGACTTTCATAATTCTTTGATGAACAGAACATTCAAGTGAATAAAGTCTTTTGTAACATTATAAATGTCTTTACTGTCACGTTTGATCAATTTAATGTATACTTGCAGAATAAATTTATTTTTTATCTTACTGACCACAAACAATACCTTAACGGTATTGTAAATCAATGGATTTTCATATATCCAAAATATTTATGAATTCTTTTCATATAAAAACAGTACTTAAAAGTTAGCCAGCCCAATTCAGCATCAAATCCTAGTGGGAAATGACTGCTGAGAATTTAGTCAGTACTGAAAACTTCTTCCTGCCCAGCAAAAAAGATAAAGAAACAGGCTTATCCTGAAACACACTTGCACCGCAGACAAGCAATTAGCTCAGTGATGAGTTCCTGCCAAAGAAGTGTCAGAGCTGCGTGTTAGCAGAAGAATAGGCTGCCACCTCCAATAGACCAGATGGATTTCTCTCCCACTGACCCATCGAATCCACAATAGCCTACATCTGCCAACGACACATTCAGAGCAGTGCATATGGGCATTCCAGAGAGAGCCATCTCCAAAATCATTTCAGATGGGCTGAGCGAGAAAACACATCATTACTGTCAATAAGGCCACATTCTCTTATATAAATGACACTGGAGGAGCTTGCATAAATCATGAAAAAAATACCACACCATGTGAGCGTGCTTAGTCAGAATTAATGGCATTCAACAGGAACTTCGCCTCACACAGCTCCTCCTCTGATGCCTGCAGCTGTCTGTCATGACCCGGGATCAGGTGACCCCAGGTCCGCTGCGCTGCCAGCAAACGGTCTACCCATGGCCGGCCACAACAGATAGAGTCAGACTGAGTCATTGGGTACCCCCAAGGATCCAGGGGACCTCATCTCTCACCCTGAAGCCGATAGGACAGCTGTGCGTAAGCAAGCATCTTAAGCAAGAAACAACAAAGACAGAGGTTGACATTCCTCTTTTTCTAAGGCTGCAGCCAGCAGTGAACTGTGAATCACCCCGGACCAAGACAGAATGTTCTCACGTGCTCACAAGCGCGCTACACCACGCACTGGGAAGTTGTAAAAACACTAATAAAACTGTGACGTTTGCACCAGGATGAGATACAAGCTAAGAAATGAGTCAGAAAACGGGATTAATAATTCCCTTGACTTTTCAGTCATGGAAAAGATTAAATACTTAGGCATAAATGTTTTTTTTTTTTTAAAGACATCAAAAATAATATGACATGATCTGAAATTATTGTTGCACTTTTATATTATTATTTAAAGTGCCTGAAAATTCCCTTAACGCTTTCATCTAGCATAAAATATTTAAGACGTGTACATGTACTTATTTATTTTTCTACTTTTTTTCTGAAAGAATAAGTGCTTGGTATAATGTGCAAAAAAATATAATAATAATAATAATAATACCAACCTTTGTTCCTTCATTTCCTTTCATCAGTGTTATCAATATTAAAAACAAGAAAAGTTTTTTTTTCATTGTTTAAATGTTAACAGGTTTCAATAAAAAGTATTATGTATTGACTTTAGTCTGATTAATGAGTTTTGAGATAAATTCTCTTTCAAAAAGAATTTGTTTATCACATAAAATAAGGAAGATTGTCTAGTAAAGTTGTGCTTCTTCATTAGTAACAATGTCAAGATATATACTAACGATTAGCTTTTATGTGAGGAAAATAAACTGAACTGAATATGTCAAGTGAAGTCACAAAGTCACATATTTTATCATAGACAAAACAGTATCAATTATGATGCAAAAGAATCAGCGATATCATATGTCACAAAAGGACACTGCAAGCAGCATTTGAAGAGTGAAGTTTCTTTTATAGACTTCTCTGAATGTGGTACTTACAGCTGCTTGTTGTCTCTTCAGCTTATCTCTGTACTCCTCAAGCTCCAGAAGGTTCAAATCCAGAGGGAGTTTCTGTTGGGCAAACATACACAAACAGAAAAATCTGAGATTTGAGAATTTCTTTTATTCTGATGGTACTATATATAAGTTTGAACATTGTAGCAGATATCCCTCACACAGACATGGCCAAATTATCTCTGAAGAGCTCCATAAACAACAGCAGCTGAACAGCTCAAACAAATTTGTACTTGAGATGCAGCCCAACTTTATTATAGAGGAATAAACAAATAACACCCAATGCCCTATGCCCAAACAGATAAACAACGAAAACTCAAAAGTCTGGACTCGAATAAGAGTATTTAGTTTCCTCTTGGCTGTAATTCTCATTCCATGCATGCAGATTTTGCAAGGCACCACCAAATCGAATGAGATTTCGCATTTGCAGTATGTGAATAATCCATCAATCGTTGTTGGCTGCAACCTGTGCAAACACCCCTGGCTGTGTATACGTATACAGTGCTGCTTGAAAGTTTGTGAACCCTTTAGAATTTTCTATATTTCTGCATAAATATGACCCAATACATAATTAGATTTTCACACAAATCCTGAAAGTAGACAAAGACAATCCAATCAAACAAAGGAGACAAAAATATATACTTTGTCATTTATTTATTGAGAAAAATGGTCCGGTGTTAAATATTTGTGAGTGGCAAAAGTATGTGAATCTTTGCTTTCAGTATCTGGTGTGACCCCCTTTTGCAGCAATAACTGCAAGTAGCGTTTCTTGTAACTGCTGATCAGTCCTGCCTGCACAATGGCTTGTAGGAATTTTAGCCCATTCCTCAGTACAGAACCACTTCAACTCTGTGACGTTGGTGGGTTTCCTCCTATGAACTGCTTGCTTCAGGTCCTTCCACAAAATTTCAATTGGGGAGGGTAACAGTGGTCTTGAATTTCCTCCATTTGTACACAATTTTTCTGATCATGGATTGGTGGGGTCCAAACTCTTTAGAGATGGTTTTGAAAACTTTTCTAGCCTGATGAGCAACACCAACTCTTTTTCTAAGGTCCTCAGAGATCTCATTTGTTTGTGCCATGATACACTTCCACAAACATGATCAAACTTTGATAGATCCCTGTTCTTTAAATAAAACAGGGCACACACAGACACCTGCTAATCATCTCACTGATTAAAAACACCTCTGAACAGATGGACTCTAATTTCACCTTCAAATTAACAGCTAATCCTAGAGATTCACATACTTTTACCACTCACAGACATGTAATATTGGATCATTTTCCTGAATAAATAAATGACAATGAACATATTTTTGTCTCACTTGTTTGTTTGGGTTCTGTCTACTTTCAGGACTTCTGTGGAATTTTGATTATGTTTTGTGTCATATTCATGCAGAAATATAGAAAATTCTAAAGGCTTCACAAACTTTCAAGCGGCACTGTATATGTGTTTGTATGTATGCATGTGTGTGTACGTATATAGTATATAGCGTGTGTCACCAAAGAAAAGTGTGACAAAAAAAATCTATTTCGTATTTTAAAAATGCTAAACTTCTTACAGATTCTGCAAGTGGCATGTAAGACAATAAGAACACATTATGACATTCTCAAACACACACCTCAAGCTCGTATTGCACCATGTCAAAGGAGTCACTGGAGAAGTACACTTCCTCTATGCTATCAATGATTTCCTGTTCTGCCTGTGGATCAGTGGGTTGTTCTCTCAATTCCCTCAGCTCCTCCTGTGGGGAGAAAAAGAGAAATGAGAATGATCATTGGCAGGGAAATCTCACTACTTCTGGAACACCATCGTGGGGAAGCTTGCCGCGCAGCTAAAAACAGAGTTTGAACATTGATTATTTCTCACATCTGGCTTATAGCCAAGCCGAGTGCAAAGATTAAGTGGTATTAGCACCCATCCCTGAGGAACACCCTTCATGAACCTTAATGAGGATCAGCACAGGAGCATCAATTTCACTCAAAACAGCTTGAAGAAACAAAGTCGTCCACTTTTCTTTGAAGAGGGGTGCTGAGATGCTCATTACGCATGATTCACATGACGTGATGCAATGTGGTTAAAACAGCTCCACGACCAAGACTGAGATAAACTTACTAAGCCATTCTGAATTACAAGAGCAGATGTGGAGGCAATGTTTAAAAATCCTTTAATTACAGCCGTCAGCCAAATTCACAGAAAGCATTCCAAATCGATAAACCACTTATTCATGTTTGACACTACTGAAAGAACTCAGAGTTGGACACTTGGTAATATATGATGGATCTTCCTATAAAGGCTGCAATTTGATGTCATTGAGATAGAAGCTAAGGAATTATTTGGCCTGAAAGCCTTTAATCTCCTCAAAGACACATGATGCAGCGTGGATGCGGTGCAGTCTGATGTAGGCAGCACTGTGAGAGAGCGTGGGTGAACTCACTGAGGGACGGCACCGGCATCAGCATCTGCAGGGGGTGGGGTGGTATGAGTCATTCTCCACTGGTACGTGCACAGCAAGAACAAAAGACAAAATCCTTGGGCTCACTCGTTACCATTAGGCCTTAAAGACACCTTGAAATCAAAACTGGACATTTGAGGCTGTTAGTCAAAGTCTAATAGCTTTGAGGTCATCAATATATTTTCACGTGTGCTCATAAACGGTGATAAAATGAACCTAATAATTTAATTATGAAAACTTTTTTGTCCATTACAGTAATTTTTAAGAACCTTTTTTTTTAACTATCATTCAAATTTATCCACTTAACCATTTTTTCCTAATATTTAAATATAGCAATATGCTGAAATGTTAATTAGGTTATACTTTCTATTATTTTGGACCTTTCCACTACCCAAATTGCCTTCAATAGTAAATTTAAACAGAACCTCCCGCCCTACTTTTAACCAAGGGTCAAATTTTACCCTACCATTCAAATTTATTAATTTCATAATTACTTTAAATATTTAAAGTTGAGTTAAAATTCAAATAGTTATTAAATAAATTTAAAAAATAATAACTAATTAAAATAAAAGTATAATTTTTATTACAATATTTTTGGGAGTAACACAATGAGTAAAAGGAGATGAAGAACTACTTTGGGACACAACTACACAAAAGTTTGTCACTTTCATTGTTTTTAATCATTTTTGCACTTGCAAATAACTTGCTTATTTTATAACTACTTTAAGCTACTGTAGAGTATAGAATAATTTTCTCATCTATCATAGAAGTACTTCAGTACTACAGGTGTTTAAGAAAATGCTGCAGTGGTTTTGGTGCCTTGAAGAGTTTTAGTAGAAAATAACAGCTTTTTTCCCCCTTGGGGGATTACATATATATTTATATAATCTTAGTATGTGTGGGCATGTGAATGTGTGTGCGTACCCTGCTTGACAGGAAAATATCCACTCTGTGGGAGAGATAGCTCCCAGGAGGTTACAGAACAGTACGTGTGAGGGGCTAAATCTTAGAAAACGTCACATATTTCTGGGTCAAATTTGATTTATTGATTTACTAAAAGCTGCATAACATCCTGAAAGGCCAAAAGTGAAAGACCACAATTGGTTCTAAAAATGCGGTTTCACAATTTTTTTTAAATGGGTATTTCTGTAAAACAAAAAGCTTATGCAAAAACCAGAAAATGTGGTCTTTATATAATTTTCTTTACTGAAATCTAGTGATGTGCATGATCAACTGTCTGTCAGGTACTAGTGAAAATATTCAAAAACATCTTCTCGGATTAATTAATTTGACCACAGGCGCAATAAAAAAGGCCTACTTTCCTACTGAATCCCTCACCTAAATCTCACCATTAGTTTTTTAGCATAAGTTGCATAGGTTTTGGAGTTAGCTTTAGCTTTAAAAATATTATTAGGGATTTGTGAAAAAATTTAAAACATACATATCACACTCATCACTTTTAATGTACATTTTAAATCTGTACATCACTCCACTTTTCTAAAGTCTTATATTAATTTCTTCCCCACTCATCATCATGTAATATACATTTGTGATATGAATTCTGAAACGCAGTAAAATGCGAAACTTCTTTGCATGAGTTTGCGTTTACGGTCTCCAGCATTTGCATTCATATGAATGGAAGTCAATGGAATGAGAAGTATACGTGACAGCCCCTTTAATCAGCTTTCTTAAATAGCAACAAATTAGGTGAGAATGTAAAGTATTGCAACAAATTAGGTGTGAATGAAATCCACGATTTGACCAGATGAGATTGAAAACATCAATCATTTCCCAACCAAACGGTCACTTGGAAAATAAAACGAAAACTCTGCCACTCTAATTAAAATGATCGCCTAGCCTTTGTTCAATTATCTTTCCATCCCATGTAGACTGCCAATGTTTACCTAAATTAACACCTCTCGTCCTTTTATTCCCTGCGCACAGACGGAGACGAACGTGAGTCTATTTGCACATAAAAGTGTGACTCAATGTGCTATATACATCAATCAAAGATTAGGATGAGTGAACTGAAGGGTTACTGAATGATGCTGATCAAACGTAGGAGAGAGTGTGATTTAGAATCATATTAAAAATAACAATGAGCCTTTGTTCACATGGACTGAGATGAGAGAGAGGAGACGGACAGCTGTTGCTGATGTCAGATCTGCAGCAAGACGTGAGTGAACCCGACCCACACTACTTTGTAATAATACTCTGTACCTGCTTCAGCTTTTATTTGTGAGATCTTTACAAATAACAGACTCCATTAAAAATCATCTAAATCTTCCAGGCTGCAATATGCATGAAAAATGGGAGGGAGAGAATAGTTGCCGATTATGAATTTATATGTGGTTGTAACCTCCAAAAGCACACCCACGCTTAAGAATGAGTCATCTTATGAATAATATTCAACATTTTACAATATGCTCTGCATAATATGATGAGGGCAATGACGACATTAGTCTAATGACGTAAATAAACTGTATAAATGTTCATTAATCTTTACAGCAATTCTTCAAGAGGCATTCAAGACTGCTCGATAACGCCTTAATTATGTGATTATAACGCCATCTACAGGACACAGGAGACTGTGCAGAAAAAATGGGTTCCAGCCACTCAAAACATCTCAAAAGAACATTTTTCCATAGTTAATATCCTGTTATTTGACATTTGACAAGTTAAAATTACAAAACCTTTTCGGGGAAAATCACAAAGCCATACAGCGGAAATGGCAGGACATTTATCAAGCACACAAGTCCCAAAATGAACACTAGCCAAGAGCTAAAGTAGAGTAAAAGCTGGCCTTAAAAAAAGAAAATAGTCACTGGCCAATTGGCTTATGACACTGCAAAACAACACATGATTTAAAACATAATATAAAAGCAATATCTGAACCTCATTTGTTTTATCTGACATAAGCAACAAGAACAAATAAAAAAAATCAGATATATGGTCCATTAAATAAAACTCAGCGCCTGTAAAAACATCTTCAAAAATGTTCATCTCCTCTTAAGTTTTAAAATGTATTGATTCCTGTAAACATAGGCTATATATTATTTTCTTCCCCTCTGATATATAAAAATACAATCAAATTTGTTAAAAAAAACAAAATGTAAAAATGTTAGCAAACAAATAAAGAAAATTCTTTCAAAATCCTTCTTGTGATGCCCTGAACTGAACAATGTCTTGTTTACTTGTTAAAAGAAACTGTTAAAAAACAGGATGCTCCCCCCAAAACTTTAACTTTCAAGAAAATGATCATTTGCAGACAAATCTATTTTTCCCGCACACAATCCTCATTAATGGTAGCTATTTTGAGGGCTAATCCATCATTTTCCTGTACACGCTATGGACAGACCGTTCCTTTCAATGATCAAACACTTTCTCACTGCCTCAGTCGTTTCAGGAAAATTTCAAAAGTGTTGAAACAAACCCCACCGGGATCTAAGCCAGATGGTTCTGAAAATAATTTTCTGAAGTACGTGTAACATAAATAAAAAAAAAAATGACAGAGTAACAACAAACACTCTCTGCCGGTGGGAAAGAGTCTCCTTGATTTGGGTTATTTATGTCTGCAATAACCAGGGATTAAAAGTAAAAAGTGTCAGCAGAAAATATCAGAGCTGCAGTTGAGACTGAGAGTATACATCGAGCACTAAAATGACCTTAGAAACCTACAGCCAGAAGATCTAAAAGGCCAGGGGTCTAATCACAGAAAGGTCCTGCTGATTTAATGCACCTGTGAGGTAGCGCTAGAACCAATGCACTGGACCATGACCAGCGTACATCTATCTCACTGAATGAAGATCATAATACAACTCAGTGGCACTGCTGCACTAAGGCTCAGCCAAAGTCTGATTAACTTTTTATACTCTCTCCTATATTTTACAATTTCAGAAACATGTTACATGGGAATATAGCTGAAATATAATTTCACAAAGCTCAACATAAGACGCATTTATTCAAATATTCATATTTTACCTCTTTCGCACTATGATTAATACCCAAGAGGATAAAACTCAGGTTATGTTCTGCATATTTTCTACATTTCACAGAAAAAGGAAAAATTTCACTGTAGTAATCATGTAATCCAGACCTAGACTGTAATATACGAGAAGGATTGATTCATCCGGTCAATAAAGACATTTTTCAGCAGGCATTTGAAACCTTCAAATATGAGTGCTGGGATGCATCAAAAAATCTACACAGCAGCCTAACAAAATCCATTCACAAATGTGAAAGCTTAATTCAGAAACAGTACATGTTAGGTTTGAGTCACCTTGCTGGGGGTCCTGAAGCTCTCCACAGGGCTCATGTCAACCACACTCTCCTGGGGACTCTTCAGACCCTGGCAGAGAAAAGAAACCGTAAACTATAAATATTAGGCAGCGATTTATGGGGATGGGGGCGTTGGGATCCTTAAAGCAAGAGTTTTCAATATTTCAAATGCAGTGGACCTCCAACTGTGACATTCTTCAAGCAAGGGACTCCAAAAAAAAAAAAAAAGAGTATATTAAAGACCCAATTTATACTGTTATAAATACATATGAAATATTATTTGGAAAATATTTAGGCTAGTTTATTATTAAATTACATTGTTTTGTTTTAATATTGTACTGTACTATTGGATTTATTTATTACCGGTTTAAATATTTATTTATTTAAATTAAATGCTCATTATATAATTCAGGTTAATCTTATTTTATAATTTATTTATACAATTTTACACTGTTTTTCTGTAAACCTTTACACAGAGGACCTAGCACTCCCTTGCGGCCCCCAGACCCCTGACTGAAAGCCATAACCATAAAGTACACATTCGTTTTACATATGAGCAGATTATGTTACAATTAGGGGTTTAAATGTTTCAGTAACCACAAAAAAAGTATACTACAAGCTAGTCAGAGGGGCGGGCGTATTCTTCCCAAGTTGAAATCAAGACTCTTGCAAGAGGGAAAAAAAATCGCGTTTGCTTGGAGATGTAACTATAGCAATAGCTTGGACACTTTTTGGGATCATTAAACATATTGAAAACATGAATACAGCCATTATTCGACACTTCACTATAGATTTACATAAATCTAACAAATTTGGGGTACCAAATTTGGCTGGGGAGCCATTTATGTTGCGTAACTTCAAATGATCACAGCCCCAAGACATACATTCTTAAAACGCAAGAAAAAATATTGTATAATTCGTATATAGAAATAACCATAAATATGAGCAATAATCCACCTGACAGTGCAGGAGACCATATTGCACAAAGACAAAATACTGTTAACAACACACAGCCTACGTTTATAATCTTAACGTCTAGACCTATTTATAACCGGCTTAAAAGGGAGTTTCTTGAGCTTGTTTATTGATTACGTACATCTGCGCATTATGAACTATGAATTATGATCAAGAGCTCACCACCTTTTTATTTATCATTCCGATATTTTCGTCAATTATTCCAAATGCACTGATTAAAATCGTTATGATAACATGTGTAAATGTGCAGATCTCAAGAAAATATAAGCTGTTTTTCAGTTTATTTGTGTTTTAGCTAGCAGGCTAGCTTATTAAAAATGCTTCCGGATCCGTCAATGAAATCAAGAAGCAGACTGATGTGAGATGAGAAATAACCAACCTGACGAGCCATCAAAGACTTGATTTTCTGCATCGTAGAGTTGAAAACACTAAGCAGTAAACGCGATGTATCCTATGGTCTTTTTCTGTCAAACGGCGATTCAGTTCTTGCAGTGCTAGACAGGTGCCATGTGTCACTGTTGGACTCACGTGACAGGTGGCTAGTGCAGCATGGGATATGTAGTTCCTCTGAATAGCATACTGCTTTCGGTTTAAATGCCAGAAAACAGCAGTAGACAAAAACTGTTAATGGACCCTTTTCACAAGACTGTGATAACGCGTTTAACGGTCAGCATCGTGAATCCTCGAAAGTTTTTCATAATTGTATTTTTTTAAAATGTATCTACATTTATGACACTATTCTTTGTATTATATCACCTTTGCATCAAATTACAAAAAAAAAAATAAGTTAACGCTAATGCGAGGGTGTTTCTAATGCAGCGTCTATGGGAGGGATGGTAAATTTGACATTGTTCTCTCTTCTGACTGCCGTTGTCAGTCTCTCTCAATTTTTGTTCCTTTTATTGAAAGTCATGAAAACACTATCGTGGAGTTTTCCATTTGCTATTTGAGCTATGTCGACTTCCGCTGCTGAGAACCCCGTAAATGTGAAAAAGGTCCATATGAATATTAATATTTTGTCATATTTATGTTTATCTCTCTCTGAAGACCTATGGTTCTCATGCTTATTTTATTTTTATCAGTTTCACATTTAAAGCAAATTAAAAATCTGACATGCCTCTGAGAAAGCAATAATATTTGTATAATGGGGTGTAGAGACCATTATTAGGCCTAGATATTTCCATATTTCTCCTCCAAGCTTTTTGAGAGATAATTAAAAACAAAACATTTAAGGTGTCTACTAACTTTTCGGTTTCTAGACACACACACACACACACACACACAATAAAATTTCCTTTTGCTGCAGAAGACAGTCAGCATTGTGTGTTGCACTTGAGGTCCAACAGACACATAACATAAAATGAGTCAAGAATTCTTGGAACAGGCCACAAAACCTCATTTGTTTTGGGCTTTTACATCTCAGTTCAGAGAAAGGTTTACAGCAAAATATTTGCTACCTGACAAAAATATTCTAGCGTGGGTGTTTGAGACGAGCCCTTCCAACTGGCTGTTCATGCTGATGTGAGCACACATAAGAGATCAAGTGTTTCTCAACAAAGCACAGCTGACATCACTGAAAATTTCCCTGTCAAATAAGGGAGTGGCACCTCCCTCCAGGCAGCTGAGCTGTTGATATAATGCTTCTGCTTTTCCTTTGAAACAGAGAAAATAAACACATAGTCATATTATAAATCTTCCTTTTATAAAGCACTGTATGTTTGTTCCAGTAATATTGCTGGTTATACCAGACAATCCCACTGCTTGAAACACCCAACAGTGCTTACCAAAATTCAAATTATCCGCTTAATATGTGCACAGAACGACCCAATACAATACTTACCAAATTTGAATATTCATCTTTTAGAAATTTTAGACATTTCAACATGCACAAATAAGCAAAAAGATACTCATAGAGGCAGCATTTTCATCAACATAATATTGTCAGAGAGCTAAACTCGAAAACGTAAACCAACATTTTAAAAACATTTTAAATGTATTTTATTATATCTTACATTTAATTAAAGAAAAGAATGCAACAATATTTGTAAAAACCTTTATTTTAAAATCCATCTGTGCTTAAACAGGTTTGAACAGGTGCAGGTGCAACACATAGACAACAAAACAGACAGAAGATGTCTGTTTTATATTCAACAAACTGCTACCCATTAAAAGTATGGAACGGGCATGTGGCATCTTGAAAATGTAATGAGCAATATTACAGAATACGCTGCAGTGTGCAAAAAAAATACAGATTCATAGTACAAAATGCATACATCATATTTACATTCATAATGCAGGAACAACAACAACGTTAGATGACGACCGTATTTATATATAAATACTCTCAGCTTTTCATTAAGCATGTTGCTACAGAAAAAAAAAATCTCATAGTTCTCTTATATATTCTTTTTAAGACAATAAAAACTTCAAGTTTATAAATGTATGATTTTCAGACCTCAAGTAGTATAAAAACAAATAACTGTAAAACAAAAGAAGTGTGTAAAACAAAACGTGTGACTGTAGAGAAAAAAATTGGCAGGAAAAAATAGTGAAACTCCTTTCATCTTTACATCCGTGCGCTCATGACTATCTCATTTCAAAAGACTCAGTGTTGGAGTTTCAGGCACATGTTTGATGACATCATAGATGGTGGTATGCAAATCTTTGACTGAATCGAGCCGTGCCAAAGACCTGCAGGATGCCTGGAAAACACAGAGAAGAAATATCAAACTGTTCTGGGGCAAAACTGCTCATGCAAAATAGCAAGTGACTTAAGTTGGGTTTTTTTTCCTTTTACCTGTGTCGAGTCCATTTTCCCAGGTACAGAGACAAATTCATAAATGCCAAAGTCTTCAGTTGCATCTTCATGACCTGCAAGTATATTAAGCAGATCGGTGAATACATATCATAATACAAAGCTAAATGTTTTTGTTATTTGTAGTAACCTAATTAGCCATTAAGTTCTATTGAGATACATATTATGTAATGTATTTAAAGCAATTTGTTCCCACACTAATAATTAAACGATGTATGAATCATTTTTACCCACCCTTTTTAGTTCACTAACACACAAGTCATTGATAATATCCTATGTATTTTCCAAAGAGAGTGACTGTGTGCATAGCCAGCAAGGTGGAAAATATGTTTATAGTGTATGCTGACAGAAAGCAGGCAGATATGATTATAGTAGTTGTGATGTTAATGGGCTTGGGGAGTTTGTTTGCACAGCGAGGTAGTGTACACATCACAGGTATAATATAGTCCGCCACATGCAGTAAACCTACCAGAGCGGTGCAGTCCTCTCTGCTCTGTCATTGGCCTGGAGGATAGGATCAATCCATCAATGATGTCACATGAATAAATAAATGTGTCATATATTTCTCAGATGTTTGCATAGAAAAGAAATATATTCTTACCGCCTGTAGATAGTCTTTATCACTGTAGAAAAAGATAAAGCAATCAATTAAAATGATTTCTAATGATTTTAAATTATTTAATTTAAATATAATCTGATTTAAAAGATTAAAGACCCCTTTGAAATCAGTAGAAACTGTTTTTTGTCCTGTAAATTAGGGCTGTGCAATTAATCACATGCGATTGTCATGCGCATCTCGTCAGTAAAGCCAGTTCCGTGATTAGTAATAAATCTTCATCACCTGCTTTCAGATGGAGCGGCATTTACTACACAGAGCCGTAGTTCACTGACAAGCTAGGCAATAATAGGCGAATGCGATTCATCTGTGATTATGAACAATTAGGCAATTAATATTGCCTAATTGTCAGTGAACTACGGCTCTGTGTAGTAAATGCTGCTCCATCTGAAAGCAGGTGATGGAGATTTACTACTAATCACGGAACTGGCTTTACTGACGAGATGCGCATGACAATCGCATGCGATTAATTGCACAGCCCTAGTGTAAACTGAAAACTGATGTTTTATTTTTGTTTTTTAGACTTTAGACTTTAGTTAAAGGGGATGAGTGACATACTCATTCTAGAGAGCTTTTGCTTTTTTACCCATGTATATCCGGTAAAAGTGAATTTTGACAACATTTAGGAGTGCACTAGCATACAGATGGCAAACACACAAAGCTTTAAAGGGGTCTTTAAACAAATGATTTAATAAATAATTGATTTTGTTCAAATGACACATTATTAAGGTGATGCCTGAATATCTTTAAAAACCAGAATGATATCATACTTCTTCTTGGATGGCAGCTCTTCCTTAGGAGCACAAACATCATACACACTATGATGACGACTGAAGAGATTGTAATGAAAGTCAATGGAGACAGCGCACTTCCTTCCTGGCTATATTTTGCTTTTCCTGGAAACAAATCAATATCAGTGTTACTTATATTGTATATTTTAAAATAAAGAATTTCTGGTGTGATCTTCATCTTTAAACTACCAAAAATGCAGATTGACAATGGATGGAACAAAGGAATAACAAATAGGTTAGATTAACTTAAAACACTAAAGCCAATAACCATTTTTGTCATTATTATTGTCATTGATATTAAATATATTTTGTATTATTACTACTACTAAATATTTAACAATATTATATATATATATATATATATATATATTTGTAGTAGTAGTATTTAAGCTTCAATAATGTCAATCTACTTTGATTTGATTAGGTCAGAAGAATTTAATAAAATAATTTGAAGGTTAATTTTGAAACGAGTCATTATTTTGGCATGAGGAGGACTAATGTGCAGATTTAAAACAGTGACTGCAAACATACCTTTGCCAATACTGGACATCACCAGTGTGAACTTGGTCTCGTCCTGCTTCTTAGTCATATTGTTGAATGCCCTGCACAAGAACTCTTTACCCTGGGGTAATTCATGCGGCTTCACTTCAAACCGTGGTCCAGTCATGAGAACCTCTGTGCTGTTCTTTGTCTTAGAGATCCAGACGCAGGTGTTGGGAGGGTTGGAGTCCGCAATACACTCAAAAAAGACCAGTTCCTCCGGGTTCACCATGAACACCCCTTCAGTTTTCAGACCTTGTTCAGAATTTACTGCCAAGTTATAAGGCCCATCTGAAAAATTTGGTAATGTTACAAAAGCTTGATTAGTAGTTTATTTTTTTAAATTCATTTAAAAAAATCATTGGAATTTTCTATTACTTTGTTTTAGTTCTATTACTATTAATAACTAGAAATTATTCTATTATTATTAATTTGTTATGTCAGTCATTGTACAACAATAGCAAAGTTAAGGAGAAAAACAGAGACATTTTTCACGTGGTCATGTCATTTCAAAATTGCAGCCCCCATGAGGCAACCCTTTTTATATCAAATAAATCAGCTTTTATTAGGCTACTGTTATCAAATACTATTACTTTCTTTAGAGGTGCAACTTTTTTAATGAGGGAAAAAATTAAGTTTTGCACCTCTATTAGCTTAATCCACATTCATATTTCAGATCGACTTTTGCTAAATGACATGTCAGGACAGATCATGTTTGTCATCTGACTAACACTGCAAACAGCAGGTAATTCTCAGGCTGCAGGAGGAACCTGCTGGACAGTGTGCAATAACGAAGCAATGATTTACACAAGGGATGATAACAGATGATAAATTAGCTTTAAGTCAGAAAGCATAATAGATACTCACAGAACACAATGAGTTCAGCCGGTTTGCTTAGCTTACTGCTAATGTGGTTTTGGGCCTCACAAATGTATTGACCAATGTCTTCTTTCTTGACAGGGTTTATAACAAGTGTCCCATAATCTTGTGAGAATGTATGCCGCTCACTTGGTCCAACCACCATGTTGTTTTTTAGCCATTTGTACTGAACATTTGTCCCATGTTCAACAGAACAAGTCAGCGTCACATTGTCCCTGTCTTCCACCAGTTCTGATTCTGGGGTCTTATTAATAACAGGGATGGACACAGGCACTGGGAGCAGAAAAGACATTAAATTAAGTACTTGCAAGAAAAGAAATCTGATATGTATATATGGAAGCTCACTTACAGTGGGTACGGAAAGTATTCAGACCCCCTTCAATTTTTCACGCTTTGTTATATTGCAGCCATTTGCTAAAATCATTTAAGTTAATTTTTGAAGGGGGTCTGAATACTTTCCGTACCCACTGTATATCTCAGGGGGGGGAAAAAACAGACTTATTCCTCAACCTTATTTTTAACGTAAGAGTGGGTGTGGCCATTTCTAACTTGAATGATCAAGGCTTCCGATGTCATTTGTATCCAGTTATTTTAACTGTACAAAAAAGTTAGTTATGCTGCTTAATATTAGAAACTGACATTTGTTATATTATTTAAAATATATTATTGGTATATTATTATGGTTCTAGCACAAACAGTTTTACTGTTTACTAAACTTTTTACTGTTATTTTTCTAGTTATTCACCAGTTTTCACCGGAAGTCTTACACATTCATAGAAAATAGCTCACTTTTGCTTTGAAAAATAAGGTGAATAAAGTCACAATTGTGAGATACAAAGACACATTGTGAGTTAAAAAGAGAAACAAAGTCAGAGTTGAGCAACATAAAGTTCAAAATGTGAGATAAAAAGTCACATTTTGAGTTTAAAGGGGTCATATGACGTTGCTAAAAAGAATATTACTTTGTGTATTTGGTGTAATGAAATGTGTTTATGTGGTTTAAGGTACAAAAAACACATTATTTTCCACATACTGTACATTATTGTTTCTCCTCTATGCCCCGCCTTTCTGAAACGCGTCGATTTTTACAAAGCTCATCGTTCTGAAAAGCGAGGTGTGCTCTGATTGGCCAGCTATCCAGTGCGTTGTGATTGGCTGAATACCTCAAGCGGGTGACGGAAATGTTATTCTCCTTACCATACTGTGATGCCGTGTCCCGGCGCGATGAGACAAAACCAATAAAACCCATTATAAACGAGGCATTTGTTGCATCCAGTGGGGACATAATTACTGATTATAATGACTTATACTGTCTTTTTACGCATTGCGTTGCATCGTGCCGCGTAAACAAAACCATGTCTGCATTTGTGATCGGAGAAATGACAAACA